CTTGAATCCTCCAAACCAAATCTCCCTCTTAAAAATCTCTTCGGATTAGTTGAGAAGCATGCCAAGGATTTTCCCTTCTATGACTTGCTTCTTTTTGGGTCTAAGTTCGATCTCAAATGATATCAACTAGGTCAAGCTCGGCTCGTAAGAAGATCCATCATCATCTTGGTGCAAAATTCTTCTAGGGAAAGCTTCTTCAATTTCTACCGACAACATGGCATCAACACCATAAGCTAATCGAAAGGGTGTTTCCTAAGTAGTGCGTTAAGTCTGAAGCCTTTTTAAAGATGTAATTTTAGTTTTGATGTAACTTTGAAGTTTGCTTCATTTTATATTTTTGGCATATGTTAAAAGGATATTGTATTGGTTGTTTCATATGACTTAGGCTTGTATGTGTTTGCTTGTTATGATTGTTTGTTTTCAAAACTTATCTTGTTTTTTAGTAAACATATCTCAATGTTTCTCATTTTATGTGAAAACATAATGTAATAGATTATCAAGTTTTGATAATAGATTACAAAGTGTTTTAACATTAAATAAAACTTGAATCATTCAAAATAATTCAATATTAAGTGAGGTAATAGATTACCATTTTAGGTAATAGATTACCATTTTAGGTAATAGATTACTGAAACTTAGCATCCTCACCATTTTAATCGATTACCACTTGTGGTAATAGATTACCATGGTGACTTCTGAGTGAAACAAGTGTTTTAGCATCGGGTTAATCGATTACCCATTATAGTAATCAATTACCTATGTGAAAATTGAGTCTTATGCTTACTAAGAAGCACAAGATGATCGATTACCATGTTTGGTAATAGATTACCTCTATTTTAAAATCAATGTGGTTTCATTTTTTAAGAATCTGGTAATAAATTACCTTTATAGGTAACAGATTACAGCTGTTACAAAATTTTTAAATGTTGAAATCCTTTTTTATACTATAAATATAACTCTTTTCAAAAACTTAAAAGAGAGATCATATATACTCTAAAATAATGTTTTAGAAAACGTTTTAGAACAATAATATGTCACAAACTTTTCAGAAAGAATACAAATGCTAAATATTGATTAAAGAAGATGAGTTCTTGAAAGAGTTTAAGAAATTTTGAGCTAATCTTTGTACAAGATCATTCTACACAAATCATGTGTATTTTTTTCTTATCTTAAATCTTTGTTTGTGATTTTGGGTTGTTGATGGAGGACCATCCTTGAAGACACATGTGGGCCCCATCACTAGGTCCATGGCTAGGAGGGTCGAAGAGGAGGAGGGTGTTCACACACCTAGGGATACTCTCCTTATGATCATAGAGTATTAGTACTCTCCTAAGCCTCATTAGTATAGGGTTTATTTTATTTGCCAATTTTACCCTTGTATTTTGGGGTATTTTAGTCATAGGATTTATTTTCTTTGTATTTCCTATTTTACCCTTGTATTATGGGGTGCTTTAGATGATTAGGGTTTTTTAATTTGGGCTAGGGTATTACATAGGAGGTGACGCCTAGTTTGGTGAGTTTGGACCTATTTTTGGTGATTAGAAAGGCTTAGGCCCAATGGAGGGCAAAGGTTGCATGGACTTATCATGCACCTAGAAATAGCCAATCTAATCCCATAGATTCCAAACTTGGCCACCAAGTTGCATCTAGGGTTAATTTGGCATTGCATTTGGAGTGCATTTGCCTTGGCATTTTCGGCCATGCACACCCTAAATGCAACCCTAAATGCAACTTCTCCTATAAATACCCCACCCCCCACCACTTGTAAATACTTTGGATTATATGATATTGAGTGAGCCTTTTGTGCCTCAAAATCCATCCTTAGTCCCTAGGATAGTTTCGGCTAGCCTCCTCCTATCTCCACCCTTGGAGAGTAGGAAACCTAGAGTGGCCTCCACCTACCTTGGAGTGAGCCAACTTTGAGCACCCAAACACCTCCACCCTAAGTGCTTCCGCCCAAACACCATCATTTCACGCCAACTTCCTTTCCTTCACCATATATCCTCCTTTTGTCCACCTTGTTGAACCTAGATCAAGGGCAAGGCTTCCTCTCCTTCATCTCTACATCATTTCATGGAGAAGGAACCCATCAGTTGTGTTCCTCTTTGGGATAGAGTGTCTCAAGGAAAGTTAGGAGAAACCTTGAGACTGGGTTTTTCTCAAGTAGGTTCTTGTGGGGTGCAAGAATCTTTGTTTTTGAAATCTTGTGGATTCAAGATTGTGTATGATTTTCATTCTGATTGTAATATTTCTTGTACATAGTGTGTGTAAAGAATATTATAGTGGAATGACTTGATTTAGTGGTGTGCTAAGTCAGAAACTGGATGTAGGTCCTTGTATGGCTGAACCAGTATACATCATTGTGTAATTCTCTCTTAACTTTCATCTCTTGATATAATTCTAATATCATCTTGTGATATTTGTTAAAAAGAATTTCAAGAAAACGTTTCTTTATATGTTATCAATTGTTGTTCATATTCAGTTCATCATATATTCAATTTGGTAATAATAAAAGAAAGTAGATAATTTCTAAAATCAATTTGGATTACAAGTATTTGATCCGATGCACGATATATCTGATATTTTGTATCTTATTATTGATTTGTAATCTAAATTTGATTAATTGAAATTTGGATAAAAAAAGAAGAGAATAAGAAAATTTTTAAAGACCATAGGAAGCCATCTAAGTGAAGAATTTATTCAACTCCCCCCTTCTAGATTCATGTTCTACCGAGACCAACATAGTGGAGTGTGGCGTGCAAATGTACTTGTTGAGAAGTTGGTGTGTGAAACCTTCAATTCAAAGTCCAGTCCTTAACTTCTTGGTCCTTAGTCCCAAGGTCTCAAATATCAATTGTACCTGTAAAAGGGGCTTCGATGCCAAAGTTAGCGAGTAATCAGAGCATTTTGATATTGTTTGTAAAATTATGTACAAAATACAGATATATTTATAGATAAAAGGATGTTACCTTTAAAAGATATGGTCATTTAAGTGTATTCAAGGCCCTTTATTTCCTTGTAACGACTAAATGTTACTTTTTCTCATGATTGTGACAAGGTGCTCAACCACGCCGAATACTTCTCAACCTTATAGATTGCTATTTGGTATCCTTCTTAGACCAAAGATTGATAATATCTCGATTTTGAGACCTATTCAATACACTACTACATTATATCAAAAATATATAATTTCTCTTTTATAAGGTAACATAGTCGATTATGTCAACCAACATAATTGATTATGTTACCATATTGTATGAAAAAAGTATATTTAATTGAATTTTATGAATAAATATAAAGAAGTGGGTAAAATGATAATTGTATATATTATTTATTTTTATAGAAAAATCTAACTATATAAAAATAATAATTTTAAAATATCAATTTATTTCCATTTCTCACTTAATTTCACTCTTAAGAATTTCACTATATTTTCTATCAAATCATTTTTCACTTATTTTCTTCCAAGGAATTCCATTAATAGCTCATTTTTTTATCCTTTGAAACATCTCAATAAATTTAGTAGATCTTTTTAGGAGGCTTCAGTAACCATATATAGAACCTATCCAATATTTTCAATATGATGGTTGGTTGTTTATGAACTAGCAATATCCACTATTTCTTTTTGGGATTAATATAAAAATTACAGTTCATTCAACAAACCTAATTTGAATTATAGAATTATGACACAATTAAATTCAAATAAACAAAATATTGAATTGAATCTTACTAATCTCTACTAGAGATTATTTCTTATTTTTGTATTCGTATTTCTTGTAATTTCTTTTCTTTCATTAATTACACCCTTAATTTTTTTTTTCAACAATAGAGATACTCATTTAAATTTATGCTTAGTTTTACATTTATGATCTATTTTATAAAAAAAAAATGTCTCAATTAAATTTTATATAAAAAAAAATAACTAATTATTACTTTTTAGTGATTGACATCAAGTCATCAACACTCGCAAGAGTTTATTCTAAACATGCTATTGGTAAAAATTTAAAAAGCAAAGATATAAAAGAAGCAACAAATTACATTATGGATGCAAAAGCTACTCTAACAGCTTCATTGTTGACATGAGAAACTGCATCATGAATGCTCTTACAAGTTACAACCATGATAATTTCTCAGTTTAAAATGACCACAAGATTATTTTTCCTAAAATAAATTGTACGTATATAAATTTTATGAATTTAATGACTGTGTCTGTGTATTAATGGTATTTTACATATCAATTAATCGTGAAACATAATAATTTGATATTTAATTATTTTTATAAGAATAAATAAATAAATTTATCATATATGATAAATTATTGTTGGACGACAATATAACACATACGTTATTTTCTAAAATTTAATTAAAAAAGAAATAGGCTAATATTTTTGAAAGTGACATATATAAAATCCAATGAAAAATTCACATTAAAAATATTTGTTATATAAAAAAAATATTTGTTACAATATTTAATATACCTTACAATACTCGTTAAAAAGATTAACAGTAGTACCTCATGAGAGTTGAGAATCCACTTCCGTTAGAATAAACTAACAAAAAATAGGATGATTTATCCAAATTAGCAAAAACACTTTCAAACATATTCTTTTTAACATATTCACACTCATTACGAAAAATTGGATGATTTATCCAAATTAGCAAAAACACTTTCAGATATATTCTTTTTAATATATTCACACTCACTACGAAAAATTGAATGATTTATCCAAATTAACAAAAACACTTTCAAACATACTCTTCTTAACATATTCATATTCATTATTTAAAAATTATTAAAAACTATAAAATCAGAAGAAAAAAAAATATGTTAAACTCACTAAATGTTTTTCAATTAAATACAAAAAGGTGCACCTTAATTTCTGTGTTTGTGGATCACACGTTTCACTGATTCAGTGACAAATAAATGTAAACCGATCATCATTGGTATTGCTGAAAAAAAAAATCCAAAGAAAAAATAGAAATAAAAATCTGCTGCCTCATGCATCTCAGATTCTCAGGTTTGGATAAAACCGAAAAGATAAACTTTGGTGTAAGAAAGACACACAGAAAGAAAGAAAGAAAGAGAGAGAGAGAGAGAAAAGCAAAGAGGTTCACGTTCAGGTTCACTTTCACGAGCCTATCACCGACCTCTGCACCTGCAACTTCCTACTTCAACTTCAACCACTGCAAGCGCTGAAGGAAAAAGAAAATAAAAAATTCCCCATTTGGTTGGGTTGGTGAAAGTTGAAGCTTTTTCACGGGCTCAAGTAGTAACTTTAGCTTGGTCTCTTCTTTTGTTTTTTCAGCATCGACCCTCGTTTTGATTTGCAAAGATCTGATCTGGGTCGTGGATATTTCAATGTGAAAGTTAAGGTTTTGTTGGTGGGTTGGTGTTTTTGGCGCATAGGAATAGAAAAGGTAGGATTTTTAAAGGGGTGGAGATGGATCGTTCTGCGATGACTGTTGGGCCTGGAATGGACTTGCCAATCATGCATGACAGTGACAGGTATGAGCTGGTGCGTGATATTGGCTCTGGAAATTTTGGGGTGGCAAGGCTCATGCGGGACAAGCACACTGAGGAACTTGTTGCTGTCAAGTATATTGAGAGAGGTGATAAGGTTTGTTTGAGTTGAACCTAATTTCTCTTTAATTTTTCCTTTTTTTTCTTATGTAAATTAAGTTTTCTTTTTCTTGTTTTGCTGATGGTTGTGAAGTTTTGGCTTTTGCGTATGTGATGGGATTTTGGCAACTGAGGTGGTTGTTGGTTATAATTGATTGGTTCTGTTCTTTGTGGTTGCCTGTGATGGACTTGGTGCTTTTGGTGGTGGGTACTTTGTTTTTCAGTTGGATGGTGCTAAAATAGGTGTTGGTGATTAATGGGGCTGTACATCTTGATTTCAGTCTTTTGTGAATTGAGATGTGTATGTGTTGCCTACTCTAACCGTGTGTACTGATTTTGTTATTCTTGTTTATGGATGGAATTTAAGGCCTTTGGAGGTAATAAAGGGTGCTTTTTTGAATGTGAATCTAGTTTTTTGGTTTCCTCATGTACCTATAATTGAGCTTAATAGGAGGTTCATAAGCATTAATAGGTGCTCCCATGTGCCTCTTATGTGAATTAGTGGACAAAATGAGAGACGCTAGAACTCTTCTTGTTTGCATAGACATGAGGATATTTTTTTTAAAGGGAAATTTTGTGCCCATGTTAATCCTAATTTCTAAATGTTGGTTGTGGTGATCCAATTGAAAGTGAACATGCTACAGTAAGCTTGATGGCCGAACTTCTTAAGCTTGAGAAGTTATAACCAATGGTATAGTTGTTTTAACCCCTCCTCACCCCCACAACAAGGTTGCGTTGGTTCAATAAGCCACGTGTGGACCTCCATTCCCTCATATGAGGAAGCTTATTTAGTTTAGAGTTCGTGTTAATCCCATGGATTTTGCATGCTAAGCTGTGCAGTAGAGTTAATTGAAGTTTTGAAGGAATTGCATGCATATGATTTTCCTTTCCCTGCTTAACAGCACTGTCTTCTTAACAGATAGATGCAAATGTACGAAGGGAAATTATAAATCACAGATCACTGAGGCATCCCAATATTGTCAGGTTCAAGGAGGTTTGTTCTCTGAACTCTATATACATGCAGTGTCTTGGTCTATTTTTTCGTACCTGAAATGTCTTTTAGTTATTTCCCGTACTCTTGAGTACAGGTCATATTGACCCCTACACATTTGGCTATTGTGATGGAATATGCTTCTGGAGGAGAGTTATTTGAGCGAATATGCAATGCAGGACGATTTAGTGAAGATGAGGTTCTTATTTTTTCATTCATTCATATCTGTTGCCGTTACTGCTTACCATTAATGCTCATCGTGTTTTGCTGCAGGCACGCTTCTTCTTCCAACAACTTATATCAGGGGTTAGCTACTGTCATGCAATGGTACGTAAGTTAGGCATTTTAGTGTTTACTTTCACAATAGTGCATTTGCTGCCTGAACGATGTAATGAATAATTGTCTGACTTGAATGGCCTATTTATTTTCTTTAATAAAGCAAGTATGCCATCGTGACTTAAAGTTGGAGAACACGTTGTTGGATGGTAGTCCAGCTCCTCGTTTGAAGATTTGTGATTTTGGTTATTCTAAGGTATAGTTCTTTCTCCCTACTGTTTTATACCTTCACATTAATTATACCTGCATTCAAGATTGCTTAAATTACATTTGAACTGGGAACTGTTTAGAAAGTTCATTTCAATTTTACTCCAATATCAAGAATATTTTTTTACCCTCCTTTGCCCTTATAATTTGTGATATCTGACAAAATTTTTGAGTGTCTTTTACAGTCCTCAGTGCTACATTCACAACCAAAATCTACTGTTGGTACCCCTGCATACATAGCTCCTGAAGTTTTGCTTAAGAAAGAATATGATGGCAAGGTATTTTGTAACTTCTATCACCAGAAGAAAATTTGTCTAACTGTGTTTTGTTAGTTTTGAAGGGTTCTTTGCTTTTCATCCCCTTTACAATGTGTGCTTCAGTTGAGTGGTTGTGAACCTTGAGGAGAAATAAATTGATAAATGTGAGTAATAGACATTAGTCCTTGAGATATGTATGATTTTCATTTATGGTTAGAAAAGGGTTGTGTTAAGCTTTATCTCCTGCGCACGAAACTAAGAACTAGATGTTAATGTGCAATCACCATAGTTATCTGAATCTTACATTTACAATTCAATACAATTTACTTCTGTGTCTTAAGATAAATGTAAAATGATTTTGTATCTTACGATACATGAAAGAATCTATGCAATTTTGTATCATGGATATGAATCATATGATTCATTATTTTATTTTTTCTTTTTACACCTTTCTTTCATCAATTCTCATGAAAAATTGAAAAGTCGTATAAGTTTAAATTGTTAAATGAAAAGGAATTGAAGGAACATTTATGAACTTATCCTATTTGATTATTCCATAAGTCAATTTGTCACTTGTTCATTCAATTTGGCCTAGAGTGCTTTTATATGTCTTGTATGTGTGTGCGTGTGCTATGTTTTAATTGATTATAAATTTTGTTTTAATTGATTATAAATTTTATGATTCACGATACGATTTGATTCATGATTCAGAAAAGTCTTTCTAATACACAAATTGTATCCTGATTCAACTACCATGGCAAGCGCCACTTTCAGGAAAGCTATGCCTTTTATCTTTTATTTACTAATATATTTTACTGATTTCTCCATTCAACTATGACTCAGATTGCAGATGTTTGGTCTTGTGGGGTGACCTTATATGTCATGTTGGTGGGTGCATATCCTTTTGAGGATCCTGAGGAACCTAAAAATTTCCGCAAGACGATTCATGTAACCTACTGCACCTTTTTTTAGGTCAATGCAGTAATAATATTGACTTGTTTTTCTTTAACTGTTGGCCTTTTCTTGCAGAGGATTTTGAAAGTCCAGTACTCAATTCCTGATTATGTTCATGTATCTCCCGAGTGCCAGCATCTAATATCAAGGATCTTTGTTGCAGACCCTGCACAGGTCAGCTTATTTAAGTAGTTTTTTAATATGAAAATTCTGTGCTTTATTTATACAATTGAGTCCTAGAGGAATGCTAACAACACACTCTTACACATTCTCTACTATTGATTAAAATTTATTGGAGTTTGGTAACTATAAAATCATGATTAAGACTCATTAAATAAGAAGTAAGAATCGTACAATTTTTTTTTTATTTCCAATAAATTTTACCCGGTAATAGTGTTTTAAAAGTTTGTTAAAGAATGTGTTGTTAGCATTTCTAGAGTTTTATTATACGTGAATCCATGCATTTTCCTTGTAAAGAGTTGAAGTGAAATGGATCCTTAATTGTTTTCATTGATATTCAATTCCAAGGCATGATCCTTGTTTTAATCTCTTTCATGAAACATGATGGCATTGCCTTTCAATTGGAAACTAATATTGTTCTAAAACAGAGAATAAGTATTCCTGAGATCCGAAACCACGAATGGTTTTTGAGGAACCTTCCAGCTGATCTCATGGTCGAGAACACGATGAACAACCAGTTTGAGGAGCCTGATCAACCAATGCAGAGCATTGAAGAAATCATGCAGATAATCAGTGAGGCTACAATTCCTGCAGCTAGAACTCAGTCTCTCAACCAGTATCTAACCGGTAGCTTGGACATTGATGACGACGACATGGACGAGGACGACCAAGAGTCAGATCTTGATATTGATAGCAGTGGAGAAATAGTTTATGCAATGTAAGCTGCTGGCAGACAATGCAAACTGACTTCTATGGTTAAATTAAATAGTATACCATGGGTTGTTCAGTGTGTTTGGAATATGTGGAAGAAAAAGATTTCACATCTAAATGGAAGGATTGTGTGATAGGAGATTTTATATTGTGAGAATCCATCCTGCTTATAGTTTCTGGTCTTTGATGATTACATGCTTTTGTATTCATAGTTGTGTCATTGTTATATTATGAAGTGGTTGCCTTTCCCTTGAAGAAGTACTTTGTTCTTGTCATATGGTCATGTTGGTTATTTATTTAATTCTCATTTTGAAAAATGATTCATTGACCCTCCGTGTGTTTTAAATAACGTCTTTGGGAGTGTAATTGTGGAGAATCAAGATGATTTGGATGTCAATTACATGTGAGATTTTCTACCCTCTAAATAAGGATTTGGGAGGAAATAATATACTTCAATTTTGAATGGCCAAAATAACTTTCCTAGCGTAATTCTTTCTCAAAACACATTTTATGTTGAGGCTCCAAAATCAACTATGATGGGATCGTAATCTACTTCAGTAATGTTATGTGTACCAAGATCATTATAATCAACTATAGAAGCATTTTAGTGCATTATGTGACATTATTTGTGTACGAAGAGTTCACCATAATCAACTATAATTGATGAATAATTAATTATGTGATGAATATATAATGTGGCATAATTGTTTATATTAGTATGATCAATTATGTTATTGAATTATACTAAAAGAAAAAGCTAATCAAATATTGTTTTAATTATAATTGTTTAAACTATTTATTTATATAAAATTTAATAATATAAAATATAATTTTAGAATACTAATTTTAGTACATTTCACCTATTTTTTTTTATCAAATAATTATAAATTTTATTTTATTTTTTTATTAACTTATTTTTCATTTATTTATTTTTATTTCTTTTGATTCCTTTCTTTCTTTCAAACAACGTATCAGAAGTGTAAAAACTTAGATAAAAAGAAAAAGAAAAAGAAGAGATAAGTGATTGATAAAATTAATGATATGAAAAAAGGTAGAAAAAAAAAAATGTCAAGTGAGTGTTGCATTGTTTAGGTTTCAATAAATAAGCATTTTTTTTATTTTTGACATCTATTTGGGGTTTGGTTGAAAAAGTAGGAGGTTAATATATATATTTTGTGGATAATTTTGTCCTACAGACATTTAATACTAATTTACTTTATCACTATTAGAGAGGTTGAAATATTTTATATTTCTAGATAAAAAGTTGTGGATAGTTATTTAAAAAAGATATAATAAGTTTTTTTTTTTATTATTATATCCGAGATATAATGGATCATAGAGACCAAAAATGATATATTCTAGTATTTCTTTTTATAATATTATAGATGTATAAATTATATTAATGAATATGATTTTATTGTAAAATGTTCAATACTTATCATGAATTAAACTAAATTTGGGGGTTTCATTTTTGATGAATGCGTGCGCTTAATTGTTGCGTAAACAACTTTCTTGCGTAACATTGCTGATAGAATGGAATCCTAAAAACTTTTTCCCGATAAACTGAACTTATCAGTTTCAAGGGCTAGTTTGTCTAAAATTAAAGTGTTTCTAAAAGGTTATTTATTTTTTTATTTTTTTATTTTTTTATTTTTTTATTTTAAAAGAAACAGTTCATGAAAAACCAACCATTTCAACCAAGCAGTTCATGAGAAAGTGTTTTAAAAAAATTTGTTTTTGAATGAAGAAAATAAAAAATAATAAGACGGAATTTTTGTAATTGATAGTAAAGGTAAAAGATTAATAATTAAATAGTTTTCCAACCAAGCCTTTCTTGATGTCACGGCAGTCTCCTTAACCAGAAATTTTTTTTTTCAACATTTTTTAAAGATAGTTTGCATTTTTGGATTATAATGGTAAACATCTTTTATTATCAAGTTATTAGTTTGATTGATATTGAATTTGGTTTCTTTTAAGTAAAATTTCAAATTTAAAACTTGTCTATAAAAAAAATGTGATTGAAAAGGATAATTTCCTGAAAATTAATCAATCAAATTTTTCGATAAAAATTAGTCTGTATCAATAATTAATTTAAAAAAAAAAATCATCTTCATAATTACCTTTATCGCTTTCCTTTTTGCTGAAATAAAATGTGTATGGTTTAACTTTCAGAAATTATCTAAAGTGAAACATAATCCTATGAGGTAGGTTTTTCCAGCAAAATCCAAACTCATTTTTAGTTTATCATTTATCATATTGCTTAGTCCAAACTCATGCACCTTATGGATCATGTTGCCTTAATAAAAACCACAATAGTATGCTCGCACCAATTAAGTAGTTCTCAATATATTAGCTAGCAATAAGCTTAAAAAAATTTCTGTGTAAAGTACCGTATCAAATCCTAACCATTAAAAATCTCGAAGGGTTAGGGAAATAAGACAAAATATTGCATTTACTAAGTTCTAGGCTCGAGGTTTTTTATATACATTATTTTATTGAAGTTAAAATATTTCTTTATTTTTATAGTATCATTTAGTTTGAGATTGTTTAAATATAATTAGACGTATTATTGAGAATTTCTTTATATAAAATAAAAAATATTTTTCAATAGAGAAACTCTAAAAAAACGTTTTAAAGTTTATATCTAAACAAGTATTTTAACTTTTATTTTTTATTGTTTAAAATACTTTTTGATTTTGTACTTATCTTTTTTATTATTGTTTTTGTCTCTGTTGTTAATTTCTTTAAAATGTCATCTCTTTTTATATTGATGTGAGAGTTTTTGACTTATTCTTTTTCAGTGAAAATTTTATTTTATTAAAATTATTTTAAATTAAATTCCTCAATATTTTATATCTCTTTTTTATCTTCACTACAAGCTCCACCAAAAACAACTACACCATCACGTTTCACCAAAAACATCAATAACGCATGTTTTATAAGACCACAATAATAATATGGCCTTTCTCGCACATGAATCCCAACCCATTGTGCTCCAATACAACAAAAACAATAATAAAATTTTGGCTTAATTACACTTTTTGTCCTCCTAATTTAGTGTAAGAGTAATTTTAGTCCTCATAATTTGAATTGCTTAATTTTGGTTCATAAATTCAAATAATGAGTAATTTTAGTCTCACAAACAATTTACCATCCAAAATTTAACAGACGTTAATGATATGAATTTTATGCTAAATAAATATTAATTATATATTATTTAATTTCTTACCTGTCAAACTATTTAATATTCAAATTTTAAAAATTTTAAATTCATTTATTTTATATTTCTCTTTCTTATACGTGTAAATGTTACAACTGGAACGGCCATTCTCCAAGCAGAACCGGTCGTTCTGCTTGCACGCCTAGTCTGTTAATTTTGAAACTGGAACGTCCAAGCAGAACGACCCGTTTTGATCCATCATCATGTGTGTATTTTTACATCTGAAACGGCCCGTTCTAAAATGAGAACGGGCCGTTCTGCAAGTGCTGCAAGGAGAACGGGGTTCTGAAAGGAGAACGGGCCATTATGGATCCAATTTTACACCATGCTCAGATTTAAAAACGCAAAAAAAATTAAAAAAAATTAACAGCTCATTATTCGATTTTCCGGGAACCGAATTCTGAACGTGAACAGTGAAATGTGCTACTTGGGTAAATAAATTGGTACAAGTGCTTTTTTGGTAAATTTTTTTTTTAAAATTCTATTTTAGTGAAAAATTCTCACTGCGATTAATGTCAATACCCTTTTCATTTTGTTTTCAATGTTATTTGAATTTAAAATTTGAATATTAAATAATTTAACACATAAGAAATTAAATGATATATAATTAATGTTTATTTAGCATAAAATTCACATTATTAACGTCTGTTAAATTTTGGATGGTAAATTGTTTGTGGAACTAAAATTGCCCATTATTTAAATTTATAGACCAAAATTAAGCAATTCAAATTATGAGAACCAAAATTACTCCTACACTAAATTAGGAGGACCAAAAGTGCAATTAATCCTAAAATTTTCCTCTAATTGCTTTATGAGTACATTAATGAAGAGAGATAGAAACCATTCAATCAAACACTATTCATTTTTCTTTCTCCTACACGTCATCGTCTACAAAATTAAATATATTACGATCACTTGAACTTAATAAGTTTACATTGTTTACACAAAAACGTTAAAAAAATTAATAACAAAAATTAAAAGGACTAAAAAAAAATAACTACAGGATCTTTAATTTTAACTATAGAAAAAATTAAAGTAAATAAAATTACACGGATAAAATATTTTAACTTTTTATTGACAAAACACAAGAAATCCTAACCATGAAAAGTATTTTATATACTTTAAATAACATAATATAACATAGTGAAATCTAATAACATTCTCTCTAATATTTTCTTATTAATACTCTCTCTATTAATGGTTGAAAATCACAAATTTTTAATAGGTTCTAACACTAAATAAAAAAAATAAAAAAAAACTCATTAACTAACATGTAAAACTTATAAAAATATTTAATTTTCAATAAATTTTAACTAATAATAAAAAGGGGTTAGAATTACAACCAACACTCTAAAATATAAAACTTAATTTTGCTTTTTATCTGCTTGCAATCCGGGGGATTTATGCATAGTCTTGTCTCTGCCAATTGCGTAGAACATTGAAACACATAACAAAACGTCAAAGCAGAAGCAACCAGCAATGTCAAAATAGATACAGACAAGGTTGGGCAATATTTGATGCATGTCTAAATTAGTTCATTTCATTTTATCAGAACCTGCCAAAAAGTAGCTGACATAATTATTTTGATACCGTAACTATTGATCTCCATGTCAAAAGATATTTAGTATAACTTATTCCAAAAATATATCCATTATATTTACTTTTGCAGCAACTGTTAAAAAATAAATGATTTTTTAATTGTCCTTTTAATAATCATGGACTTAGTTATGTTTTTCCCTTCAACAGTTAGTTATATTATAAAATTAATTAATTGTAAACAAGCAACTAATCAACAAATTCATTATACAATTACTAAAATTAGATATTCGTGACGTGTGTGCCCCCCTCACTGAATTTCTGCATGATTTTATTAGTGTATTTGAGTCATTGCTAAAAAATTAATTTCGGTTAAAATTGATTTAAAAAGATGCAATATACATTTGGATATTTTTTATTACAAAAAAGTGAATAATAAAACTAAAATAATTTTTTTAATCTAACATGACAGCTTCGCGAAGTTGTTTCAATTCAATCAAACAAGTCTAATTTAATTAGTTGAGTATTATATAAATTGTTATAAACTTCTCTAATAACTAATTTGATTCTCACACATAAACCAAAAAAATTAAACATGTAACAATTTATTTAAAAATGCATTACTTGTTATTTCAACGTGATTATAAAAAATTTAACGTAAAAACAACCATGCACAAAAAAGGAGCAAATATTGTGACAAATTAATCATCTCTTACAGAAGTTTAAAACAAAAGCTTATATTATTTATAATTACATGCTTTTTTATCGAGAAATATTAATAATATATTCTATTGCCCTCTCTAATATTAATTAGAAATTATTGAAAACTACAAAATCATCAATAAATATCATAAGATTATAAATTTTAATAAATATCAGTTGATAACTAAAAAAATTATTCAAAAGTGCATTAAAAAGCATGTTACAAACATTTCCCGTATATTATAAAAGATAAACTAAATTGATGCTTAAGGAATTGTTAGTTGAAAAGAGAAAAACTTAATTGAAGAAAATGGAGAAGAAAAAAAAAGAGAGAAATTTTGTTTAAGTTACGAAGAAGTTTAATGGAAGGTATGAAAAACAACTCTTCATGCTTAATTTAAAAGAGGGGAAGAATTTTAAAATTAATTTACTTGTATACTCTTATAATTTTGAACTTCAAATCATGAATGTTTTAAATCTCTTCTCTCTCATTCGAATCTCCCCACCCAATATTGAAAAAATGAAACTAAAAATAGATAGAGGGTTTGCTCCCCCTATTTCCTTTTCCTAAAAATTAAACTAAGCAACAAAAATACCATGTGTTATTCCATTTGACCAATCCTGGCATTTCTCTTCTACAGTTTTTTTTTTTTTTTTTTTTTTTTTTTTTTTTTTTTT